CCGCACAATTGCACTCATCTCACACGCTAGTAAAGTAATGCTCAAAATTCTCCAAGCCAGGCTTCAGCAATACGTGAACCGTGAACTTCCAGATGTTCAAGCTGGTTTTAGAAAAGGCAGAGGAACCAGAGATCAAATTGCCAACATCCGCTGGATCATCGAAAAAGCAAGAGAGTTCCAGAAAAACATCTATTTCTGCTTTATTGACTATGCCAAAGCCTTTGACTGTGTGGATCACAATAAACTGTGGAAAATTCTGAAAGAGATGGGAATACCAGACCACCTGACCTGCCTCTTGAGAAACCTGTATGCAGGTCAGGAAGCAACAGTTAGAACTGGACATGGAACAACAGACTGGTTCCAAATAGGAAAAGGAGTATGTCAAGGCTGTATATTGTCACCCTGCTTATTTAACTTATATGCAGAGTACATCATGAGAAACGCTGGGCTGGAAGAAGCACAAGCTGGAATCAAGATTGCCGGGAGAAATATCAATAACCTCAGATATGCAGATGACACCACCCTTATGGCAGAAAGTGAAGAGGAACTAAAAAGCCTCTTGATGAAAGTGAAAGAGGAGAGTGAAAAAGTTGGCTTAAAGCTCAACATTCAGAAAACTAAGATCATGGCATCTGGTCCCATCACTTCATGGGAAATAGATGGGGAAACAGTGGAAACAGTGTCAGACTTTATTTTTGGGGGCTCCAAAATCACTGCAGATGGTGATTGCAGCCATGAAATTAAAAGATGCTTACTCCTTGGAAGGAAAGTTATGACCAACCTAGATAGCATATTAAAAAGCAGAGACATTACTTTGCCAACAGAGGTCCATTTAGTCAAGTCTATGGTTTTTCCAGTAGTCATGTATGGATGTGAGAGCTGGACTATAAAGAAAGCTGAGTGCCGAAGATTTGATGCTTTTGAACCATGGTGTTGGAGAAGACAAGCAGAGGCTTACAATTCATTATGTTATTGACCTCACAGTAAGCTCTCTCTGTTTCATCTTTAAGATATCATTGAGGAAACAGAGAACTTTGGTGAAAGATAAGAATGCACAGTACATTTTTTTCAGAGTTAAATCACAGTTATTAAATTTAAATTTCTTTCACAAGTGAAAACAGCAGTTTCAATCATCTAGCCCCAGACCATTGGTTTTTGTAGATCTATGTTTCAAGATCACTCTTCCAGTTTCCCATTCATATTTTTCTTTCCTGAAACCTGATGTTATTGAGACTTGAATTATAGGGAGAACTCATGTGGAGGGTGAGGTCACATGAAATTTACTTGGTATTCTGCGGAAAATATCATGGGGGTGGACATTCAAATTTAGAGTTGCTTAATAACCAAAGATTTTGTTAAAAAATTAACAAACAAATTTCAATTAAATAGAGTTGGGAGATCAGAAAGGGAAGCTTTCACATCTTAAGGTGAGACTAGAGCCCAAGAAGAAGAGAGACCTTTATTCTTTCAGGCAAGGATTTAGCCAGTAAAAAACCATGAAGTCTTGGTTCACTATGACCCTCCCAACTTTCTTTCTCCTGCTACAAAAAAAAAGTTCTTTCCTTGATATACCAGATATGCACGTCTCAGCAGGGTTTCAGAGCCCAGATTGCAATTCCCTGGTGATTGCAAATAGACCTATCTGTACTGGAAAAATATCTGTCAGTCTATTAGTTTTGGGTCAACAGTATGGATATTTCAAAAAATCTCTAGTCTGATTGCACTCAGTTTTGAAATATTTTATTATTTTTCCTGTGGACCTCATTGAGGTTTTCTTTTTGATCTAATATAATTTTTTTCAGAACATGAAGGAAAACATTGTTTACTTGGAAGAAAAGATCAGAGAGTGCAGTATCAAGGAAGTCAATAGCAGACAGATGGTGGAGAAGTACATTGGTCAATAATACAACTTGTTGAAAATTATTCCAATTAGACAAGATACTGCTGACTTTGATGACCCACACTTCACTGGAAACTTCCACCTGCAGTTGAAGCCAGATTATACTGGGGGGAAGAGATAGGAAGCAGGAAAGCAGAAATGATTAGTTCCAAAAATATTTATCAAAAATATGCATAAAAAAGAAAAGTCACAGGATCTCTGCTATTAGATGTAAAAGTCAGTAAGTTCAAACACATTGTGAACACAAGAAATAGAAAAAGTGAGTGATGGTCTGAGCTCCCATGAGCATATTTTGAGAACTTTGCTTGATCAGAAAAAGAAATTAGTAATAAACAAATACAATAATATGAGAAAATAATGACAGTACATGTCAAAAGATTGGAATTTGTGATACTTTGCTTCTATAGCGATAGTGAGATAGTGTTATTCAATCATGTCCAATTCTCTGCGCCCGCATGGACAGTAGCCTGCCAGCCTCCTCTGTCCATGGAATTCTTCAGGCAGGAATACTAGAGTGCATTGCCATGCCCTTCTCCAGGGGCTCTTCCCTACTCAGAGATCGAACCCAGGTCTCCTGCATGGCAGGCAGATTCTTTATCATCTGAGCCACCAGGGAAGTTCAGTTTACTTCTAATACTTTCATTTTTCTTTATGGAATAGCAATTAATGGGATATGGAAGCCATGAGGAGCAGGAGGTATATAACAGATTTGGTATGATAAAAAATTTATTGCTATAAACCATGTAATAAGGAAAGCATAGTTATGTAATGAGATGCCAGGTAAAACCTGAAATTGTGAGCAAATGGTGCTTGAAATCTGCCCATCCTTATGCTTCCTTCAGAAGCGCTCCATACTGGGAGTACAGTAACACACGACACAGAGCACAGAACTGTTCAGAGTTGGTGTTGTAGGGCGCTAGTATGATGGTCATTTTGAAGGATAAAATAGAAATTTAGTTGAGGAACCATGCTGTTAAGAATTGTATACAGTTCTTAAAAATCTGTTAAGAACATTTCCATTTGAGGAATGCTCCAGGGGATCTTCCCTACTCAGAGATCAAACCTAGGTCTCCTGCATGGCAGGCAGATTCTTTACCATCTGAGCCACCAGGGAAGTCCAGTTTACTTCTAATACTTCCATTTGTCTTTATGGAATAGAAAGCAATATGGAATATGGAAGCCATGAGGGGCAGGAGGTATATAACAGATTTGGTATGATAAAAAATTTATTGCTATAAACCATGTAATAAGGAAAGCATAGTTATGTAATGAGATACCAGGTAAAATCTGAAATTGTGAGCAAATGGTGCTTGAAATCTGCCCATCCTTATACTTCCTTCAGAAGCGCTCCATACTGGGAGTACAGCAACACACGACACAGAGCACAGAATTGTTCAGAGTTGGTGTAGTAGGGCTTGTGCGCTAGTATGACAGTCATTTCAAAGGACAAAATAGAAATTTAGTTGAGGAAACATGGTGTTAAGAATTGTATACGATTTTTAAAAATCTGTTGAGAACATTTCCATTTGAGAACTATAATTAAAAAAAAAATTAAAATCAGTGCCACTCCATGCAATGTCAATTTTCCTATAGAACAGTGTAATGATTACCTTTCCTTTGAAAAATAGTGTTTGGCATATTTTATTGACTTCTAATATTTGCAAACTGTTTATTCCCATCTATGTGAAGTATCAGAATTATTCATATTCATGAGAATGGAAGCTTTAAAAGCTTATCTTAGATTTTTGCCCTTGAGACTGGTGTGGGAAAATCTGTTAACTACACCAGGAAATTTTGTGTCTCTTCCACCTAACAGTGTGAGATGGTGAACTGAGAGGATGACAAGCAGACAATGAGTACCATCAATAAATTTACAATTGAAAATTAATTTGTCAGTTAAATGTGTCAGGCTGATTGTCTGAAGCTATTCTTTTTGAAAAGCAGAAGACCTAGGTTGTACAGTAACAATTTCCAAGCCCAGTTTCAAAGATGCAATTAAGACCTTTCCACTACACTGTGCTAGCGAAGACTGAAAGATTAATATCAACTTGGGATTATTTTCCTTCTACATAAATGTATGAATGAATGGCTAAGACTTCCTATCCCAACTAGTTTGAGCAAGTGACTATCTTGACTCCTAGGTTCAGAGTTACGAGTCAATGATCTCTAGAAGGACCTCTTAATTACTTGAATGTGTAATAATATTTAGAAACCTTTGTCCCAGAATGATTTCCAGGTCACTTGGACTTAGGTTGGATCCCTAGAGACTGCAGTCAGAAATTTATCTGTGAGATGAATATTCCAAGTTGAGAAACAGCTCTTCCTTACCTATGCTGTGCCCTCATCCATGAAGGTCTTACTGTTTTAGGAGTCTAGGTTTCAAGCCCTTGATCTGCCACTTGCTAAAACTGAGAGTATTGGCTAGTCCTTTTTCTCTTCCTGCCTTGAAGTTCTAATGGAGAAATATAACATTAATGCAAAAGCATAGATGTCCCTTGTAGTTCTAATTTCTTTAACAGTGAATGGTCCTATTATTTGATCTTTCTGATAGTAATGAAAGTGAAAGTGAAGTCTCTCAGTCGTGTTCGACTCTTTGCGACCCCACAGACTGCAGCCTACCAGGCTCCTTCATCTATGGGATTTCCAGGCAAGAATACTGGAGTGGGTTGCCATTTCCTTCTCCAGGAGATCTTCCCAACCCAGGGACAGAACCCAGGTCTTCCGCATTGTAGGCCGATGTTTTACCGTCTGAGCCACCAAGGAAGTCTGGTAACATACCTGCCTAAAATGTGAGGCTAGAAACCCATGCCTGCAGAACTGGGAGAGGGCCAGGTAGCGAGGAAAGTTCCAATGATTATGCCGAAGTTCCTCTAACCAAGTTTGGAAGAATCTCCCCATGTTATACTTCCTTGGATGAAAATTAACAATGATGAACCAACTTGACCTTCACTGTGATTTCTTATGCTTTAGAATGGTCTAGAAAATACTGTAACCCAACATAACCTTGTTTAAAACTCTGTCCAAGTATCAAACACTAAGGACAGTTTAATCTTGAAAAATATTACTACTGTATGGACTAAGTCCCTTCTATACTCCTAGGTCACTCCAATGCCTTAAGCCCAGTTCCCTGTCCCTTTTGAAACACCCTGACAACCCTTTCCCGAATTTCTTTGGTCTTAACTCCGTATACCATAGGGTTAAGAGCAGGTGGAAAGAGCAGATACACATTGGCCAAAAGAATGTGAATGTGGAGTGGAACATGGTGGCCAAAGCGATGGGTAAAAAAAGAGAAGAGGGCAGGTGTATAAGAGATTAGGATGACACAGACATGAGAACCACAGGTCCCTAGGGCCTTGGACCGAGCTTCATGAGATGAGAGGCGAAGGACAGCTCGTGCAATGAGGAAATAAGAAAGACCAATGCAAAACAAGTCCACGCCAATGACCAGAAGTGCCGCCGTCAGCCCATAAACACGATTAGGCCTGGTGTCTCCACAGGCTAGCTTCACTACAGCCATGTGCTCACAGTAGGTGTGCGGGATCACATGGCTTTGGCAGAAGCTCAAGCGCTGAATGAGGAAGGGGCACGGGAGCATGAGAATGGAACCTCGCACCATAGCTACCACCCCAATGCGGGCAATGATGGTGTCAGTGAGGACAGTGGTATAGCGGAGTGGGTGGCAAATGGCCACGTAACGATCAAAGGCCATGGCCAGCAACACAGTGGATTCCATCATGCAGAAAGCATGAATGAAGAACATCTGCGCCAGGCATGCAGAGGCAGATATGTGTCCGGCTCCACACCAGAGGATGGCCAGGAGCTTGGGGACTGTGGAGAAAGAGGCAGCCAAGTCGACGGTGGAGAGCATACACAGGAACAAGTACATAGGCTTGTGCAGGGCCGGCTCAGTGGCAATGACCGCCAGGATGGTTGTGTTACCCACAACTGTGGCTGCACCCAGGAGGCACACAGGGAGTGAAAGCCACGGGTGGAACTGCTCCAGACCCGGGATGCCCGTGAGGACGAAAACAGAAGAGTCCAGGAAAGTGTGGTTAGGAGACTCCATGGTCTGGCCAAGACGACCGGGCATCTTCTCGGGTCAGAAACCCTCACACAGTATGACACCACCTAAGGAGACAACACAGAACAGGGATATGAATAAGCTAGACTCGCATTTCTCTTTCTTACTCCACGTTTCTATTTAACAGAATCCAAGAGAATAAACTCTCTTATTCCTTAATAGACCAGATGCCACATGTGTGTAGTCACAGGATAAGAAAAATCAGGGAAGAAACTGTTTTATTTTGGACTTCACAGAATATCCTTCCTTACAATGTGGATGAATTTAAGAGATATCAGATAGCCCAAATGTGTAAGATCAACTGTTGTTGTTCGTTCTCATAAACATAGGGATTAAGATGAGATAAGGTTGGTGACAAACCCTATTCTATCGATAGGTCAAGACCAATAAACTACATGACCTCTGCAGAATATGGATAAATATGGCTTATTCCATTAGGTATTTCTGTAGAGTATTGTGGGACACATTGTCCAATGAACTTATATCAGGGGGCAGAGACAGCAAAGACCTAATGTTCTGATCTATTTAACTTAGGATCTTTTCATTCCTAAATTAAAACTCACTGAAGTAAAAGTTTTTACTGTTCCAAAAATGTGAACATTATTTATGTGCTTTGAGCTCTCTAGCTCTCCACCAAATTTTCAAGTGACAGCATATTCTAGATTCTTTTTTTTTTTTTTTTGCCATCTCATGTTTTTTAAAAGAGGCAGGAATATTTTAGAGACACAGAATCTTAGAATTTTTAAAGCTGGAAGGTATGCTCACACACACACACACACAAAAAGAGCTTGGGGCCCATATAACTGGGAAAAAATCTCTTACTGATAGTATTGCCTTGGACAAGCCAATTTTCCTCTAAGACAAGATTTCCATTTCTGGTCTGGAATATGGTAATAATACTTTGTAAGGATGTTGAAATGTAAAGAACACCACCTTGTACAGTGTGTGGCTCATAGAAGGTGTTCAGTAAACAATGTCATTTGCTATTACCATTGCTTTCATATTAATAGGTCAGTGACCTCATAACCTAACACAACTTCCTTAACCTGCTATTTATTAGAATCTAATCTTATCTTGAATATTTATACAATAAGAATTAGACAGTAAACCTACTGACTAAATACATATTGTTTACAACCGCTTTCCGTATAACCTCTACAGTTAAATGATGATCATTCAGAGATTAGAAAACAGCTTCACACTCTGATCTCAGCTACACTATATGTCCTCAGCTCTTACTTTTTTGACACAGATTTGCTCACTGAGCCAGTGTGAGTGCTCAACATGGACAGCGGGGCAGGAGTCAGATTGTGAAAGCAGAAAAGCTCTGCTCACAGCACCTCCCCAACCACTTAGTTTATGCCAGACATCCCTTTGGCTTTCAGGCTCTCACAATTTCACTCACCCTTAGCCCGGACGCTTAATTTGAGGACTGCTCTCTGAGTTTCCTTCCTACTTCTTAAGTCACTGACTTCGTGCCTTATGACTTTTTTCCTGTAGAAGTTGGACTTATCATGTATTACTCATATCACCTGACTAGATTGGCGCATAATGTGATTGATGCAAGTGAACATGACCTGTAGTTCCTGTAGTTTCCTTCCAAGGAATCCCTATCTTTATGCATACCACCACCTTCATACATCATGTCCTCTTATCACATCACCCTCTCCCACTATCATCTCATCCAGCTCACAGGAATAAACCCCTGTCTCACCATCTCTTACATAAAATATTTTATGATATTGATAAATATTTGGGACCATTCTTACTCACACTTCAGTTTGAACCTGGCCTTCTGACAAAATTGCTAATCCAATTCTGATTGTGACATTAAAGCCAATGCCCTCAGTAATATAAAAGTTCCAACATCACCATTTGGTGAAAGGTAGGTTGGAGAAAACTTTTCCCACCTGAAACTGCAGCATAAATCAAAGCCTGTCACTCTGTCTGTGTAAGAGGGCAGCTAAACCGGGATAGCTCTGGCAACTGCAAGACCATTGAAACATGAAATAAGTCAATGGCATCAATAAGGTTCTGCTGATCCCCCTGCCCAATATACTGTTGTTGATCTCTGCAGACTGTCACTACACACACATTCCTCTCAAGTGCTTAGTGAGTAATTAGTTCTTAGTAAATGTCTTGAATTTACTTCATAATGCCTCCCATTTCTCTGGTTTGAGTAATAAATCACTTGTTACTTGATTTGTTGAAGGCTCCCTACTCAGCCCCCCTTTCCAACTAGAGGGCTTAATGCCAAATTAAAACTTCCATTTTAGGAAATCTGCTGAACAAACTCCAAATTAGATTACACAGAGTTGTTATATAGCAAAATCCCCTTTTCATACCTCTAAATCTCACTTTCTCTTCTTTGAAATAAATTTTCCATCATCATCTACACAGAAAGATTTTTCTTGAGGGCTAAGAAACATCTTTCCTAGAATCTTTCCCTAGCCGAAACTCACGTAACTGCGGGACAGCAGAGAAGAGAATGCACAACATTGTAGAAATATCCTCGGAAGATGGAAAGAACATTACTAGTCTCCCACCTTCAACTATCTGAATACTGAGCTCAGATGTTGTTATACTGATGAAAACCATCTCACAGTCCCACNTTGGGAGTTAAGTGGATTGCATTGTGTTTCAGGCCAGAGCCATCTGGGGAACATCTGTGATTCCTAGGAAATGGAACATCCAAGCCTTTCTTTTCCAGATGATCAGGTCAGATTATAAAGGTGAACCTAGAGGTTTTTGTTAACGAGTCAGGGAAGGAGTATTTATAGTCTGTATCCTTGGAATTCTTTCTCCATTTTTGTTTTGTTTTCTTTCTAATTCTCCACCTCTCAGAGATGGAACTATTTATCTAAGGGCACCTAACATTTTTAACTTGCAGATACAAGCGCTATGGTTATTTGACCTGGATCTCTGTTTCCAATGCAGCTCCATTTTCCAAGGATCCCAGGATGGATATGCTTTCTCTTTCATGTCCTTGTTTATCCCAGAGTCATTCTGCCTTGGTTACTTTTTCCTGAGACTACACTGTTATAGAGGATTCACTGTACATGTCCCCAGACTGGTCACTGTTACATAGTTGCACAGTATTGGCTTTGTTAGACACTTTGTCTTTTTTTTTTTTTTTAACCTGTGCACGATGTAGCAAGCTGGTGATGGAATTCAATAGGAAATTATACTGGTATCTAGGAGATGTGATTACTAAAGGCAGTTTTTCACCATATGAAGTAATTATATTAAAAAGTCATATACATTAAACATTACTAAACCTCTATCTCATGTTGTTCTTTGCTGAGAATTTATCAACTGTGCTAATCTCAATGAGGACTTCCCAGGTGGCTCAGTGGTAAAGAATCATCTGCCAATGCAGGAGATGCTGGTTAAGTCCCTGAGTCAGGAATATCCACTAGTGGAGGAAATGGCAACCCACTCTAGTATCCTTGCCTGGAAAATCCAATGGACTGAAGACCCTGCAGGCTGAAGTCCATGGGGTCACAAAAGAGTTAAACATGATTTAGTGACTAAACAACAAAGCTTAGTAAACTGTACTGTTAAAGAGCTCCTTTGCATTAAAACCACAATCCTGTCTTCTCTGGGTCTAATTCACTCTTGGTAACAATACTCTCATATGTAAAGAGTTTACTTATTTAACATAGTTTACCACTCATAGAGTTTACTTACCATGCACCCCAAGACTCTTAAAAAAATATCTTGAACTTCTATTTCCAGTAAACCAGCCCCAGACATCATCTAGGGCCTTATATTATGTGGGGATATTCCAAGAATTCTCTGTAGAATTATGGTCTCTATCCATAATTTACTGCAAGATTTGGTCTCCTTATCACCATTCTAAATGCTTCTCCTCTAGTCCCACCATATTCAAACAGATCAATTTTCATTTGTAGACACTTCCCACAACTAGACTAGATCTATATTCAATCAGCTGCATGCATGCCCTTGATCCTAGTTCTGGAGAGTCTCTCTAAAGTCAGCAGTTTTCAAATTTAGTGTTCTTCAACATTACCTGTAGCTCCTGTTAAGACACAGATTGCCAGTCCATACCCCCAGAATTTCTCATTCACTAAATTTGGAGCAGCGTCCTAACATGTGCCTTTCTTAGGACTTCCCAATTAATGCAAATGTCACTGGTAAAGGATTCACACTTTAAGAAACACTGTTTTAAGAAAATGAACATTAAAAAAAAAAAAACCTTTTGATTGGATTTTCCTTATCAAATTGCTCTGTGGTCTGCACTTCTGGTGAGTTCTATTGGACAATACAGCTATCGTAAACACCTTTAACATATTACCTTAAAAACCTAGAGCAGAACGGGGTTGTAGCAACTTTCCTTTCCTGAAACCTGCCTTGAATGTTCTCATCTGTCTACAGCTAAAAGTGCTTTAGAGAAACTTTCAATCCATTTCACTTTTAGTTAAATGAAAAATAAAACAAGGGAGAAATGAAGGTTTGCAATACCTTTGTTCTGCCCAACCAACTCTAAAGCCTTCGACTATGTGGAACACAATAAACTGTGGAAAATTCTGAAAGAGATGGGAATACCAGACCACCTGACCTGCCTCTTGAGAAACCTGTTTGCAGGTCAGGAAGCAACAGTTAGAACCGGACATGGAACGACAGACTGGTTCCAAATAGGAAAAGGAGTACATCAAGGCTGTATATTGTCACCCTGCTTATTTAACTGATATGCAGAGTACATCATGAGAAACGCTGGGCTGGAAGAAGCACAAGCTGGAATCGAGATTGCCGGGAGAAATATCAATAACCTCAGATATGCAGATGACACCACCTTTATGGCAGAAAGGGAAGAGGAACTAAAAAGCCTCTTGATGAAAGTGAAAGAGGACAGTGAAAAAGTTGGCTTAAAGCTTAACNACTGAGCGACTGAACTGAACTGAACTGAACCAAGTCTAGCTCTCAGCAAGATACAGGAAAAGTCCTGGGTGGTGCATTCTATGGAG